ATCTTCACTCTTATTTATTTTAATTCTCTGTGTGATGGTTTTGTTAAGCACTGTGCTATAAAAATAAACTTTCCCTTGCCTCATCTCCTCCTTTTTCTTACCGTTTATGAAAAGCTTAAAAATTCCATAGAAACACACATAGTGTGGCGGGTGAGCTTGCACATGATGCTATTCCATTGTCTGGCAGCTGTAGCAGCAGTCACAAAGGACAGCTCTAAAAATAGGAGCAGCATTTGGAGCTAGTAGAGTGGCAGGTGAGTATTTCTTTCTTCTGCAGTCGGCTTTACGCTCCGCACCCTGAGCTCTGATCTCGTCAATCGAGGATGAAAAATACGTATGCGAACATGTTAAGAGTTAGAATGGAGAAGGAGACGTCACGATACAATGAAAACACGCTGGTGATGTTTCAATTTCATCTGAAAAGAGACATGTTTCGTGGAGTATATTAGGATCATTGTCACTGAACGTCTGATTTACACAAGGAGCGACACTGGGCTGGTATGTCAGAACAAGTTCGCATTCAACCCGGCTTGCGACCTAGTCTTTCGGCCAAGGACTCGGTGTGAATTCTCGAGTATAGCTGTAATGTAGACACAATAAAAGAAAGCCCACTGTTTACATGTGGATCAGGTGAAGAAGGTTTTAAAACTAGTCACACGCAGGACAATACTTTGCACAAGCCGCAGAGCCGTGTTTGGGTGAGTGAAGCTCATGTTGTCAGAGATTGGGCTGTTGCACCCAATATTATTTCCTTTATTTAAAAAATTGGCAAGTGTTTTTATTGCTCCACATGGACGAGAAACTTGTCATAGTCCATAATAATGTGATTTCCACTGGTTCTGGGTGCTGTGACTTTACAAGATTTATTTTTAAAGTGGGAAGTTTATTTTGCCTTTTTTCTATTTTGACTTGCTACTGTCAGCCCCATGGTGAAAAGCGGGCACAAGTTTAAACAACACGCCAACCTATCCCATTATTGTCGTCTGGTATACAATTCGAAGACTCCTATTGTTTCACTATATGCCACAAAATAGAAAAGGGTAAATTGACTTACTGTTCAAAATTCCCTAAATGTCTCCTCATAGTTTCATTTTACCGCCAGCATGTTGTACTGAAGGTTTTACAATCTGCTTTGAAGCCCACATGTCTGATCAGGAGTCAGAATGGGCGGGGATGGATGGTAGGTGAAATATTGTCAACATTTTCTGAGCAACGATCCATGAAAGCCAAGGATACATTTGTTCCACATAATCTCACAATTTTTGATGAAGCCACAACCATATGTTCATATGGTTGATGAAGCCACAACCATATGAACATAAATTCCTCCTTGATCGTCGTACTGTAATGCTGGCCCCTATTTGCCTCTGCCATACTGCGAAAAGGCTTCTAAACAGAACAGGGTTGAATAAATCATTTCAAAATCACCAACATGATGTAAAGGTTCCGCCTCCTCACACCGCTGGGTTAATAATATTCCAAACAGCCTCCAGATCTGCACCATTATCGACGATGGGGAACTGCAGCCCTTCAATCAGCTCAATCGGGGCCATTATGCGGGGCGTGCGAGGCCATAAGCCATCTCCTGTCATCAGCGAGATGTGCAAATCGTAATCAGGCTGGATATTTCTCTCTATGTAAAGAAATACACTTCAGAACAGCTCCGTGCAACTGGTAAAGCAAAATCATATGGATTCAGATCAGTCGGTTTTCCAGTCCGTCCGACTTGTGCACACTGACAAAACTACTATATGTAAGTGTTCATTTTCAGTTTGAAAACAGTTTTTCCCCAGAGAGAAGACAAGGCAAAATCAGACAAACAGTCCAATTTTGAGAGAACTTGCATCTCATATATACATATAAATAAATATCAACACACAAAATTGTCCGGCATTATCCTGAAGTTTTTAGCATTGGTACATTATAAGTATCTAGTTTTGAGTCATTTACAGTCAGAACATAAACGTAACAGGACACATACAAGTTCAACAACAGGAAAAGTAATTGGAACAAGAGAGTGTGTGAATATTTCGCTTTGTTCTGTCTTTCCAAGCAAAATAATTTAAAAAGCAAGATTTTTTAGTTTACGACGTCAATATTGTGGTGAGTAATGAGGAGGAGCTAAATTCTAAGGGACTCTTTCTATGGGCATTTATAGGAAAATGGAACTATACTGCTGTGGTCTACAAGCACACACACTTGGGAAAGAAACCGTACCTGGGCTTTATTGCACTCCTGGGATGAAGACTGTAGTAAAGAGAAAAGGAGATGGAGTTATAATGGGCCACATGTAAGGGAATGAGAAAAAGAAATATACAATGCATCAAAATACATGACAAAAATTCAGCCGGACAGCGTGGTGAAATCTCATGTGTAAAATATTAGGATTTATATTGTGAAAAAGTACAAACAATTCAATTCAATTTATTCTTCTATAGCCCCAAAGAACAACAACAGTAATCTCAGAGGACTTAACAAAACCCTTGAATTTGTCAACACAGATCAGAGAATCAACAGTTAAGACAGAAAAATATATAAAAACACATAGATATTGGTCCATAGGGGGAGACCAATGTCCATGAATTTAACTACATAATTACATCAGGAAATAAAATCTTACTTTCACTGAACTACAAAGAGCAATCGAAGATACATTTTGACAACATCTTGTATAATTGAGCTTTGAATAACCATCCATCCATCCATCCATTTTCTTCCCCTTAATCCATTTCTGGGTCGGTGGGGTGGCCAGAGATGCCACCCAGTACACAGAGCACCAGCCCCTCACTGATCCTCCTGCAGGTGGTGAGTCCACAGGAGCTGAGATCTTTCAATGGGGGCTTCAGGCAAAGTGGGGTTAAGTGTCTTGCCTAAGGACACAACGACAGCAGTCATCAGTGGGAGTCATGAAGTAGGTCTTACGGTGGGCTCGAACCCACGACCTTCAGGCTCAAAGGCCAATGCTCTACCAACTGAGCTACTGTCGCCCCTTTGAATAACAAATTGAGTTAATTCTCATAACACTGATTATTATCCCAGTGGTGAGAAATCCTGTATGTCTGTGCATTAAGTGCCATTGTCCTGCAACACCTCCATAAAAGCTTTCAGAGGTAAGCTGCAGTCTTTGGCCAAGGACAGGTGCACACACACACACACTCACACACACCCACACACCCCCACACACACACACACACACACACCCACCTAATTGGGAAGTGCTCACATGCACTTTTATTTGGTGGAAGATTAGGGACGCGGGCGCTTTAACAAAACTGACCTTGAGGAGCACAATAAGACACTCATTAAAAGAAGTTATGAGGAGAGTGGATTAATGGAGTCAATATCTTTGGCCAATTAACCCTCTTTAGAAATATCATATAAAAGATGCTAAGCTTGTTAATCCTAGGTTACCTTCACTGGATTTCATAACGGCTTCTCACATTGTGGGGTGTGTGTGGTTTGTCGTCACCATGTCTAACAGTGGAACACATGAACAAAGAGTAAGTATTATTATTCTCTCTATATTTGAACGTACATTTGAAAGGCTGTGCTCAAGGCGAAAGTAAAGATTTTAATTTATATGCGCTATATCAGGCTTTTCAAAGCTTTCATACATTTTACTGCATCTTTTGTTTATAAGTCTTTATCCTTGTTTTTTTTTTTTTATGGACCTGTACAACACATATTTTTACATATCAATATAAAAGACAAATAACAAGTACCTGGTTCAAAAAGATTGAATTGATTTGATTCCAACCCCCATCACTCGTGCCACACACTGTTTTAACAAAATCATGCAGTAGAATTCCAGCAGAACACACAACGGTACAGTACACATTTCCATATTATGAGACGGACAAAACAAAACACACACACACACACACACTGTGACAACACACTGGCCCAAACACTCTCTGACCCTACACCTCTCTCCCACTATTCATTCTGCATTTCAGGATAATTGACTCCAGGTCTTAATAAAAATTTAAAAAAATCTGGGCTTTGTAACATGCAGAGAAAATCCGTACTACTCTGATCGGCTGCTTGTGGATCCAAGAGAGTGCAGTCTGTCCGTATGAAGTCCAGACCTGAGGAGAAAGTGTGAGTTGACAGTTTCCAGCTTCTGCCCAGCTTTGGCCACTTACACTAATGCTTAACGGCCGCCTCATTAAAAGTACAGTGTGCTGAACGCAGATTTCAAGTAAACATGTGGATTAGGCGGATTTACAATTATGCACCATCCGCCTGGAACTTGGACCCTTGTAACATGTGGGAGCTTTCACTATTTAACAATACGGGATGTGGTGTTGGGACTGTTTTAATAATTCCTGGGACTTTAAATCCGACCTCGATAACCGCAGAGAAATACAGTTATGTCAACGCACATTTGAACATTTGAATAATTCAGTTGAACACCAGTTTGCGGCCCTCGACTTGGAATAACTTGTCAGATTTCAACAGATTTGATTGAAAAATATATAAATATTCCACTGACTAGACGACTGGAGATAAATTAATGATAGAAATTTTAAAAATACAGATCGTTAAAAATTCAACCTCTTCTTTTATATATTAGGTCATAATACATTGATTAAAATATACATACCCTATACTATGGTATATTACTGTAAGTACTGCACATGATCATATTTGTATTCTGTATATTAATTAGTTGCATTGTATTCTGTGTATTCGGAAGAATGGTGAGAGGGGGTTGGGAAAAAAAGTCGGCTTCATACAACCCCTTTTCAAACCTGTATTAGTGTGATATGTGAAATTGTCTTCTACAGGTTTGAAATAAATCTAACTAAAAATGAGCAGACAATGACACTGAATTGCATTTGATTCTTGCAGACAGAACGCCTCAGGAGAAAAAGCCCCAGACAAACAGTAGTCATGCAGAGGTGATACCGACACAGCAGAATGAGCGCTATAGCAACAGAAAAGCACTTTATATACGATACATTATTATTAACCCCGACGCTCCTTGAAAAGCCATCTCATCCACATCTCCACTTGGCCTTCGGGTGCGACCTCATGTCCCGCTGAAGGACGGTCTCCGTTGGCAGCGCCGTGCTGAGACTTAGTGAGGATTCTGCATACGGCCTGTAACGGCAGGCAGCGGAGCGAAGAGCAGGCTCCCCAGGTTTGGAGGGAGAGCCAGGAATATTGATCCCCGCCTGTATAATCATGGACCAGCTGTTTTGGGGCCCGGGATTGCCCCGCTGGTGACTGTGAGCGCCCCGAGGATGAGCCTGGAGCTACGGGGCTGTTAGTGGCTCTGATGAGGAGTGGCTTTCATCATGGGAGAGATAATTGATTCAATTAAGAATGTGTTTGGTTAAAGCGGGCGTCATGTTGGATTGGATCTGATTAAAAAGCCTGTAAGTTTGAGTTGAAGGTGTAATCAATTGGTTCAGTGAAATAATTGTTAATATTTCTCCATATGTATATTTAATGGAGACATTCAAAGAGAAAATAAAGTCATCAGTAAGTTGACATCACTTTGTCAACTTATTTGTCGAGTCTATTTGAATTAAGGCTGGCAATTTAATGTTGTGCCATGAACAGTTATACCTCATTTCAAAGCTATTCTTTTCATTACTTACTTACTTAGTTACTTACTTTAATCAAGAAAACTGCCACATTATTTTGCTTGACACAATGATATCAAAATGTAATGAGCAATTTTATCCAATACTATTCTGCCGACTTTAAACTAATTTTGATCAGGAAAAAATCCAAACCCATGTAGAATACATATGCACATATACACACATTTAGATAGATACTTTATTGATCCCCCACAATAGAAATTCAGGTGTGCAGTAGCAGCAGAAACGCATGCATCCGTACAAACAGAACAAATATATAGATCAGTCTAAAAGCAGCTAACTTTAAAATGTATCCCATAGTTTAAAAAGGCTTAGACAAAAACAGCCACTGCCACTGCCCTTAGGTCCCGGTCTGAGAGGATGTGTGGGACCCCCCATGAGACGCTAGCCTGTTCTGCTCTGGACTGGGTCTGAATGGGGGAGGACAGCAGCTGGTTAAAGTAACTTTGTGACAGTGTTAGCCTGCGCCCGAGTCCTCACCTGTAAAACTATCAGTCATACACTCACATTCTACAACATAATGGCACTGTTTGATGTCACAGCATGAATCTAATTTGCTGGTATACAACAAGCACACTCAAACTCTTTTTCGAGTTTGAATCATGTACATTATTATAATAAGTAATTGGTAATGTATGATGTTAGAAAATTCTGTTTACCGACATTTGATAATGTTTTCACTCAAAATAAATACACGCTCAACTCAACACAATTGGAGCTACGTTACATGAGCAGATGTCATTTCTAATCACAAAGAAATTATACGCAACAAATTTTACTACTTTAATTATAGGAAAATCATTGTCTTTTTTTCATACAAGACTACCTTATTTGAAATTAATATACCATATGTTTGGAGTTAATCTTCAAGCAACTGAAACAATGTTAGAACAATTGCAACCTTTTGGGCCAGTGTGGGGCAGGATGGCAGGCCTGTGTTGTCAGTGCTGCTGAAGTGGCCATTGACCCTTTAGTCCATGTTTACTGCTGTATAAATAAAGCAGTTTGAACCCAGACATCACAGTGGTGCTTAGATCATAGCAGAAGAGCAGGCTCCCAATGGGACCTCCACTGTAAGGCAACATACATATTTCAGACATGGAAATGGCTCTGGGGCGGACGGTATGTAAGGGACATTATGAATATAGGCCATCCGATGTATGAATGGAATATCAAGAGACACAAGACTAACATGGGATTTATATTATTTAAATGTATGAAAGAAAAACATCCATTTATGTGTGGTCTTTTTGTTTCTTAACACTCAGACTCCCAGATGCTTGAAGATACTAGAACTCCCAAAGCCGTCATTTTGACTGCTCAGTATCACTTTTCTCTTAGTTTATAATTCAAGTACTTATCTGTTTGTATGGATGGATGTGTTTCTGCTGCTGGACACCTGAATGTCTCCTACAGGAGACTAATAAAGTACCTATCCATCCATCTATCTATCACATTAAAACCAATCCCCCCCAAAATGTTTAGTTTTGCAAGTCAATAAATTATATCCCAGTTTATTTTTTTATTTTTTTATCTTTACCTACTTTTATTAAGCCATAAAACAGGATACAATAACTTTAAATAAACCTAAAAATGTTCAGAGAAAGGCTGAACAAATGAAGCAAATAAACAGTCTGTTGCTATGGTAACTAGCACTTTCTCTTCTCTGGTAGAAAACCAACCTCAGCTCAGAACCAGAACCAGTTTAGGACCTTGAATTTTGCTTTAATTGCCAAAGAAAGAAAGCAATAGAAAATGGCTACATGTGAATTTGACATTGAAATTAGAACTTTCAAACATAAAAAGAAAATAATGAGACAGAAGTCCAAAAATGCTCAAATTCAAAGTAATTAAGAGCGCAAAATGAAAAGCCCTCAACAGGGATTGCTCTGAGAGTTCTAGTGTTAAATTGATCCGGAGAATATTTAGGAAGTATTTGGAGTACATGGCTGTCTAGTGGTAGGAGCATGAAGCCACTAAATATAAAAATCCAACATACTGAAGGCACACGATTGTAAAGAATGTTATTTGAGAAATCTGGAGGCAATACTTTTGAGTCAAATTGCAGCTAAACACACACAAACACAAACAATGTCTCCTTTAAGTTGTTTGTGGGAAGGAAAAAGGCAAAGAAATGTAAGAAACAGCAGAGACGTCATATGTGCTCATAATCTGCACAAAGCCATTAGGGTTTTATTGGAGGTGCTTCTAACAGAATGACATCATCCGAGGCGAGGGTTGTCTAGGGTAATAGATTTCAGAAATAGAGTTGAAACATGAAGCCGGACGGGGGGACATGCTAACAGTTGTCGAGCTGAAATGCATTGACGGCATGTGATTGATGAAATACAGTATATTACAAGCCATTTGATGCACCATGCCTTTCTTAAATGTAGAAATACCTGCTCTGTTTGGAAAGATTGGACCAGCTGAAAGAAACCAGATTGGAGAATTGGTTATTTTCCAAGACTATGTAAGTGTGTTGTGTATGCATGAAATAGTGACGGTTTAGTTTTTGGTGCAAATCACAAATTATTATCAATATTTTTACAACCATGATTGAAAAAACAGCAAAATTACTACATAATGTAAAAGGCACCTCAGGGTTATAGTCTGCAAAACAGGAAGGCTGTTAGCATGCTAGTTATTGGTGAAAAATAAAATAAGTCGATTAATACCGTAGTAATCAAAAACTATGCAAGTTTTATGAGGGCGTTTTGTTGATGTTTTTTGCCTGGAATGTTTAACCTAGCCCAAGCAAGTGACTTCACAAGGCCAAGTTTAGCGTCATATCTGTGGAGAGGCGAGCCAACCCGGTTTCATGCCATTCAAAGTAATAGCAACAAGCAGATGCGCAGGAAAGTTGCGCACCTCTCAAATCAATTCAATTCAATGTATTTTTGATTAGCCCTAAATCACAACAGTAGTTAACTCGGAAGACTTTACAAAGCCATCAATTCATCAACACAAATCAAAGAATCAAACACAATAAAACTCGTATAGAGCCATTGGTCCATTAGGGGCTGATGACCAATGTACGTAAATGTTGATAAAGTCGATAAATGTCACTGCTAAATTTTTAAATAGAAGCAGATGTCTTGGCTCTGTCCATAAACTGCACAACACAATTTTAAGATGAAACAGCAAGCTAAAGAGGATCACAAACTTCCTTTCCTCTTCCTACCAGCAGCCTCTCTGACACGGTTGCAACACTTTCTGTATCTGCTCCTTGAGTGACTAAGCTTACGTGCTGGAGACAGTGCACTTCCTCGCTCCTCTCTGCGTCCCCTCCCTCAGCTCCTAAACGTGGCTCAAACTAAACGAGAGCATCTTGAGAGTGTCGGTGCATTCTAAAGGAGGAGATTAAGCCTGCTTCGTCAGCTTTGCATCGCGGCCGCTGTCACCTCACTCCGCAGCTCTTGTAATAGCTCTCATAACGCCATCGCCTTCACCTCCCTTACTGTACTTCTCGATGAGCCTGTTTGGGACCGGGTGGTTGCCATGGCTGCACGCTCCAACCCTCCCACCGGAGCACTAATGTCGAGTGTTTGCGGCGGAAGATGTCAGGCCCTGAGAAAGTTCAATGCAGGTTTTTGAATCGGAGGCTAAATTTAGGAGAGAGGGCGCGGCTGGAGCTGGCAGTCGGGGGAACGGTGTTTTGCTGCATTTGCCTTATTTAAGACAGAGAAGAAGCTTTTCTCTTTTATCCAGCTAAGAAGTTCACTGGCGGAGGCCCAGGGGGACGCCACAGAATGAAGGGAATGCAGGGAAAGTTGTGCAGAACGGGAATATAGCAGCGTGTGTAATGTCGGCATCTCGACTGTGAAACTATGTGGCTTCCTGTTCCCAGGGAGACTGGCTTCAATACTGCACAAAGTCACCAGAGCTTATGCAACACTAGGATAAGTTTGTCATGAACTGGAAAACTTGTGACTAATGAAGGGGCATGACTTTTGGAGCGTGCATCTCCAAGGCGTTTTCGCACCCTCTTTGGAATGACCCAGTCCCCTATGTAACATTCAAACAGTAATACTAGCTGGGAGTGGATTAAATATTAACATATATAGAGTGTAGAACATTTACAAAAAGCTGCTGTGGCTTAGGATTTACCTGAATCAATTATATTTGTCCAAGTCTGAGAAGGGAATAGATACACAAATTGAATATTGTCATCCAAAGGTTCCTGAAAAGTATCTTCATAAAATATATTCTGCTCCAAGTATGAAGTTTCTGCATTTTGGTACCCAACTTTGTTTCATAACTAATTAACTGTTTGACCCAACATAATGAGTCTTGTAAAAGAACCAGACGAAAATATGCGGTCTCCATCTTATTAGAACACGTGATGTATTTTGCATTTTGCTTGTAATGAGCCCCTAATAAGATAAGATAGAGTTTATTGATCTCACACTGGAGAAATGTACATGTCATCATTTGGCATGGATAGAATCACTGATGTTAACATGTTCAAAGAAAACAAATACACTCTTCGGGCGGAAATCTGATTGGTTCTATCAATAGTTAGAACCAAAGCCAAACTGTTTTGACAACGAGGGACTAGATTTGCTTACATAGTTAAATATTTACTAATGTGAAAGTTGGGCACCCCATCTCTGGTCATTTGCATTTCTTCTCTGCAATAATGACCAAGCTTAGGTCAACAAACACATTCCGAAAGAGAAGAGCAGCCTCAGACCTCAACAGAATCTCTACACAATTCACGGCAAACAATTGTTTCGTTTCGAGTGCTGCGTTTTCCACACAAGTCATTCCTCTCTCCACAAATTAAGGCAGTGTTTTGCTGTTTGAAAATGTTTTGCGGAGGCTATAGTTTCCGTAAACATAGGCTTCAGAATACCGCTCCAGACAATGTCAAAACTTTTGTTGCACATGCCCAGACTGGTAATTATAGTTGCGGGAAATGCACTGCACTCGTTAAAATGCTAGCATCAACAACAAGCTTTAGACGCGCGGAAATCTATAGAGCAACGTGGAGAGCCGTTTTGTTCATACCGTAACTGCAAGCAAAGAGAAAGCAAAGTAATCAAACAATATTCCTTCGTTGTAACCCAGTGAGCGGGAGAGGAAAATACAAAACCTGGAAACGTGAAAAAGAAGTAAATAAGAGTAAAACACAGCGATTGCTGATGGTTAAGTACAGCATCTTTAAAAACAGATTTGGAAGCAAACCTATGGGGAACTAAACAAGCTTAGCAAGGACCCAAAATATCAGAGGAACAGTATGAAACTTCTAAACCACGTTAATAAAAAGTGAAAAGAGGACAAGCACAGTAGAATAGCAACTAAATATACATCTTAATGTGTTTATTTATTCATTGACCAAAGTTATTTAACCAGGAAAGTCCCCTTGACTCAGAATCTCTTCATCACAGGAATCTTGGCCCCGGAGAGGGGAAATACGGTACTTATTTTTAGTCATCGCGAGAACCGGAGTACCCTGAGGAAACCTACACAGACATGAGGAGAACATGCAAACTCCACACAGACAGGGGCTCTGTTCGCCTGCCACTGCGCTGCCCATATACAGCAGCGGGGCAGAATGGCAATGCAATGATCACTTAGCTTTTAATTCAATGCAATGAATAGCTAATTAGACTATGGCAGGCTAATAGCTAATAGCTTACAGCAATGGAAAACAACATATATATAAAATATGTGCAGCAAGAATTTGGAAACGTTATTAAGTGATGACAACAACAAAGCCAGCTTGCCAAGTGTTGATATTAATTGCATTTTGAACACAAACCCTCCAAGAACAGAACAGGGGGCATTTCCATCTCATAAAATTATCTCCACCTGAATCAGAATCAGATCTAAAACTCTAATCATTTGTTCCTTGTCCCATTTCTTTCATAAAAATCACACAGCCTTGGTGATTACATTATGCAGCAATATTTAAATTGGATTCTCAGTGAATAAGACGGGACACCAACGATATGATGGACAGTCAGTCGTCCTAGTCTGGTCAATGAGAGTGTCAATAGTGCAAACAAGAATACATCCACATTCTAATATTCCATTTATGAAAGTCTAGTAAGGGATATTACTGTTATTATGGCACTGCCCACAGAAGTCTGTTCAAAAGACTACACAATCAAACACACATTGATTCAATTTCAGAGCAGTACATTTGAAAGCAGGCTATAGTCAAAGCACATATGGAACAACATTGCATTATAAATAGCTTGAATAGGACTGGGTATCAAACAAAACAGCATCCACTGGCACTAAAAGGGAAAGGTACTAAAAACAAACTAAAACCTCCATCTTTTATTGGGCAGCGGCAGGAAGTGCACTGCAAAACATTACTGAAAAAGTACGGCCAGTCTTTTTTATATAGTCTCAGAGTTCAGTTTATGACCAACACATGATTAAAAGCGTAATCACATTCAAACTCGAGTTTCAACCATTCACAGAAGTCAAGAGAAAAGCAGCGTAGTGACACAGAACTAGAAGCAATGCTCTGGGGAAGGAACACATTCATAATAAAAACAGTTTTGGACTGCAGGCTGTGGGGAACAAGCCTTCATTTAGAAAACAACACAGCACAGGAGCTGCTCTCGGGACAAGCCCATAACATCACTGGGGAGACGGGGGAGCAGCCGCGAAAGTTGTCAACAAGAACCAGAGCGCGTACACACAGCCACCGCATCGTCATCATCAAAATCTCTAGCGAGGGCAAAGACTTTCCAACCCTGCAGCTAGCTCCAAACTCACCGTGTGGTAAGGCCGGCCTATGGGAGGCTTGCCGGTGGGGTAGGGGTCCACTGTGTCGATGATGGTTTGCCTCTCGCCCTTTTGGTTGATCTTCCTGAAGCGTCTGCGCGATTGTCTGTGCGAGGCTTGGCGCTGGAAGTACTCCTCATTTTCGTCCATGTAGTCCACCTGGCGGGCACAAGAGAGCGGCCATGTTTACCTCCGCATGTCCCACACGCACACACATACAGGCGCATACACACACACACACACACACAAGCTGGCTTTGGAGCGACTGTAGCGGTGAAAGCCAAGAGTCAGCACTAGCAGCAGTCCCGGCAGCCCAGCCCTCCCTCCCTCCCTCCCTCATTCACTCTACTCCCACAGCCCTCCTCCTCCTCCTCTTGCTCCTCTTCCTCCTCTCCTGCGTATAAATAGACACGTGTGGGCTGTACAGCGACGACAAAGTGTGCTCTGGATGCGAAAAGGTACATGGGAGAAAATAGGTCCCGAAAGATTCCAATCCGATCCAATCCACTTTATCTATATAGTACATGTTATAAAAACAAGTTTCCAAAGTGCTGCACAGTGGTAAAAGAAACACATTTATATATATACACAGGTTTGCCAGCTTTTTATGTATCAAAAGAAATTAAAGTTAAAAAAATACAAATAAAATAAAAACGATGAAATACCTGAATGATTGTATTGGCATTGTAACTGTTTTCTTGATCATACAACACATAAAATTAGGGTATATTTCAAGATTTCTTACAATGACCATAACTTACTCAAAGTTTATTAAAGCTGGAGTAAACAGCTTTTATCCACCCAAAAATGGCTAAAATGTCACTATCACTAGTTTTAAAGAAGAGGACCACTATCTTCTTTAAAACTAGGGAAGAGGGTGGTCCTCTTCACTAGTGCAGATTGAAGTTCTGTCTATGAGGACAGCATGTGGGTCTAATTAGTTCATAAGACTTTACTTTTATAAGGCAATTTCTGTTGAGATAAAAAATGCAAAAGGGCTGTACCCAAGTTTTAATGTATATACAGTTATGTTTTTGTCATTATGCATGACAATGACCGGCGCTATGGTCCAACCCTGCCCTGCAGGTCTTTTTAGATCGCGGAAACTGGCGCAAACACACATTTTGGAGATTGGACATTTTTATGTAGTAATGCCAACTTAACTTGTTTTTCTTAATACAGTACTTTACACAACATACTACAGGGTGTTATTTGTAACACATGTTTTATCACAAGATTAATTGGCTATCTACAAGTGTGGGCTGTCAAAAGGCTCAACGTAACTGTGGTGGAAATAACACAACAATGTTAAATTATCTCCTTGTTTTGTTAGCAGTTTATTGGTAAACAACAGAGTGTGCCAACAGGAGGAGCATGGGTTTAATCCTGGCCTATGTAATCATGAGCTTTATCAGCACAGTATGAGCGACTTTTGGGTTTTCTTCATGAAAATCTGAACACTGCCTTATTTTCTAAGCAATTGTTTTAAAAAATTCAATCGATTATGACAAAAACTAAATTAATGTTTCTTTCCAGTCACATGAACATTTTATTGTGTGTACCTAATGCACTAGTGGTAATATTAAGATATTTTCTGATGATTTTTTTAATGCTTGCCATCACTTATTTTTACTCATTTAACTTGTTTGCATCTTGAACCAAAGCAAATTCCTAGTTCATGACTTCCTATTAATTAAAATGACAACAAAAATCATTCTGGAACTACTATACTAAACGCTAGGATTCAGAGTTGAATTGTCCAAAATGGAAGTGGAAGAGGGAAAGACATGATTTAAAGGAGAGACATTTTGCAAAATGTACTTTTTGGAGGTTTAAACAAGTGGTTAGCTCTTCAAAAATAGACCCCTTTCATTTAATTCATAGATGAAAAAAATAAACTATTCTATATGAGCCTCTGGTGGTAGCATAGACAGTTGGAAAGTGGAAAGTTTTTTTCACGCGTCATACTAATTTCACCAGATATTTTTGACTTAGGATGCCATCTCCCATTCTAAAACATCCATCCATCCATCCATTTTCTTCCCCTTAATCCATTTCTGGGTCGGGGGGGTGGCAGTCAGAGCTGCACCCAGTCACAGAGCACCAGCCCCTCACTGATCCTCCTGCAGGTGGTGAGTCCACAGGAGCTGAGATCTTTCAGTTGGGGCTTTGGGCAAAGTAGGGTTAAGTGTCTTGCCCAAGGACACAACGACAGCAGTCATCAGTGGGAGTCGTGAAGTAGGTCTTACGGTGGGCTCGAACCCACGACCTTCAGGCCCAAAGGCCAATGCTCTACCAACTGAGCCACTGTTCGCCCTCATTCTAAAACATGACGGGCCAGAAATAATGCATCATACTTTTTATTTAAGTTCAACTGTGCATCCACTCCAAGATAAAACTTTATTGATCTGACAGTGGAGAAATTTGCAACCAACCCCTTTAACTGATATTCAGAATGTCATTATAATAGTTTTGAAGTCATCTTAGCTTAGATATAAAGATACATCCAGTTGAAGTCAGAGCAGCTGGTTTCCTCTTCCATAAAATTACTGCCTGATCCTGAACCTTGCAATCAGCCCAACTCTCACTGTACAATTTTCTTAAGTCTCCAAATGGGTACCTGACCCTGATGGTACAGAACATTTAAGCCATTATTTTGTTTCTTTGTCTCTTCCCCACGCTCAGATTTCACAAGCGGCCTTGCTCTTTGGGATTACAGCGCTAAAACCTCTGGGCGCCATGACAACAGCAGGTCGAGATTGTGTACGTTTAAGTGCACGTGTTCCCTGGTTGAGAGCTCAAACGCCTACATGTACTTTTAGAGTCACTGACAACCAATTTCCACAGCCATTAATGGTGTGGAGCCACAAACTGTGAAAACAACTCAGTTCAGAGGCCAAAAATGGATCCATGTGAAAACTAGTGAAAGAGGCAAACGTTTTAGAGCCACAATAGTTACATGGATAGTATGGTTGTGGTTTGAAAGAACGGTATCTTAGCTTTAACCATAAGCATACTCCAGCAGTGAGAGACGTGAGAAAGTGTTGCCTGCACTCTTTTGCCTGTGGTTATACTGCATTATGTGGCTATCAAAATGTGAGAAAATAATTAAAAAACCATGTAAGTAATGAGTGGTTCATGAACTTTGCGTTGTCTCGGGTAACCCACATTATCTTGCCAACTTTATAAAGAATGCTATTAATGAAGAGCCGCCCTGAACACATACAGAGCACCATGGCAGTATGAGACACAGCCATATCCCTTGTTAAAAGTTTGTGGTTGCACATGTGGATAAAAGTCGTCATTTATCAGCTGTATTCACATATTTTGGAGAAAACATATGTAGCAAGTCATTTTTCCAGAATGAACTGTGGAATTTGACTGGGACACTATTTGCGACACTGTGCTCGGGTCATACCATCAACATGTCTGGACCAGAGAAGAAGTAGGTGGAGGTCAAATTGTCTGAACAATATCGAACAGAAATCTTGATCGAATCCACTCAATCTCTCAATATTTGTATCTTTGGTCTCAATATATCCAAAACTCACTCCTGGACTTTTCAGCTGTGCTCTATATAAACATCCCTGTATTCTTTATATATGTGTAATTTATGAGCAATAATTAGACACATAATTAAACACAGGTTGATTAAGACATACCCCTACTACAAAACTGAGTCCTAATTTGACCACCTTCACTTTCCCAGCACTGTAAAAGCTGACTATAAGCGTTCCTCTCAAAGTGGCATTCCTCAGTCTATCTTTACCTCCGTGCTGCCGTATTCTCAGGGCGGTTTGACACACTGCTATAGTCTACAGAATGAGACATCACACTGCTGCTTCCTGATGTCAGTGTAATATAATGGCTGGTTGGGGCCTGTCTGGGTAATCTAGCCTTGGTAATAGTGGTGTGCCCATGACAGAAGGGGCTTCCACATCTCCCACTAATAACAGCGTTCGGAGATCCCATCCAGCTGCCGCACACTTACCGTTTCCATTTAATAACTATATTGCTATAATGATATGTGAATGGCCTCTGCCTGTAATCGGACAGGGCCGCGGATGGGCATGTGCTACAGGGATTTGTGTTTATTAGACCCTGGGAGCAATCTGTAATGTGTCCGGTGATGATTTATAGTTTGAGCAGCTGTTAACATTCGATAAAAAAAACTGGCTTTTAAAACGGTCATTTGCATAATTTCCAATGGATGATGTTATGTCTACGGCCCAGGAGTTCAACATTTGACACAATAGCAGTATTTCTTTGCACCCGGTGTCCTTGCTGACCATGAGGTATCTACATGGTTATAAGCTAGGATAAAACGGTGGTATTTTACTTACACAATGTTTCCAATTTTTCTTCTAGAACGCACCTACTTTCAATGTGAGACTTTTATTATATGGCTTACAGTAAAATCATCTATTGACATGTATTTCAGTATGAACACAGATCTCATGTACAAAAGGGTCTCCAAAACGTACATATTGTTTTTTTTATGCTACCAGCAAAGTTTGATAACATTTCCTGGGTATGATTTTAACAAGGTGTAGATATATGATGAGATAAAGAATAAATGTTTTGCTTGTGCCGGCTGCAGCAAGAATCCATGACATTATTGTTATTCATTATTTTGAATATTTGAAATGACAAACAAGCATTCAAACAAGCAAAAAGAACTTAAAAACTACCTCCCTGGTGGAGACTTCCCTTTATACTTGGGTCCATTAAAATGTGTTGCCTGGAATATTCCATTGTAAGTTGGGCATTACATTTACCATCTGTATTGAAGACAATCCAGGCTTTTGAGCAACACATGTGATTTAATAAAGTACCAGCAATTTATTCACATTCCAAGCAAAGAAATTAAAATTGAGTAACCCCCAGCTAAATTCTACATACCTTGAAATCCCAAAGACTAAATGAGCGGTACAAATCAAACTCACGCTGTTCTCTCGTTATGAATTCTGTTTTTGTCACTCTTTGTGAGTCCTAATTCTCTTCCCATCATGCATCACTACTGCCTGCATCTGCATGGCCAGATTTCTACTCCTGGGCCAGGCTCTTTGGAAGTTTAAGAATGAGAGAAATGCAGCCACGCGCACCCATCTCCTGCCCTCGCATTGCCAAGGCTGAACACATTACTCTGTACCTCTCACTGAGACGGAATCATTGGCTTGAAGAACTTGTGATGGGCTGCGGAGAAGTGGGTCACATTTGGAATCATCCTTGGACTCAAATGACCAGAGAATTTTGGAAGGACTCCAGTGGAAACGAGACTTTGGAGTAGAGATGAAATATCAATGGGTAAAAGCACTTTGGCTGATTAGAATGAGCAGCGGAAAGTCCCAGAGATCTGCACTGGACCAGACACAGACACAATGTTATGATTATCTTATTTTATGGTCGGGAGAGACGACGTCATGATTGATGATTTAAGATAATAACAGCGACAATGTTTTATGTAGGTTAAGTGTTGCTTTTAAATAAGACTGACCTTTACAGGAATCGACTTTTTTTTTTACTTTTTATCATCTTACCTTTGTTCTCTGGACAAAAATAGACTTGGAGTTACAGCCATTGTTGCTAATTTCAAGAACTTCTGGCACACATACAATACAAATAAAACATAGGATATTGTTGTCCTTGTCATTTTCTCCTTTAAATGTTTTCTTCGTAAAATAAATAAATGAAAAGTTGGTCCAGCACTGCACAAGATGACAATATACCCATGTGGGCGTCCAGAGAAAATAATTTAACCAACCTGGTCAAAAATAGTACATTGTTGTATTTGGTCTGAAGGCCGTATAGATGCAATACAAATATATCACAGAACTTGAACAGTAGGTGACAGTCTGATGCTTATGACAGCAGCAAAGGGACTCACCACAATCATCTCTGAAGGCTCCAGGACAATGCACTCACATCCACGTCTGAGGCTGCCGGCCGAGCGCTTGCCAAAACTGCAACAGGAGAGCACAGAAGCACGTACTTTAAAACACTGTTCAATCATCACATTTCAGATCAACTACCAGTGGTTCAGACGTGCAGCCTCACAAAGCACAAAATAGAAATGAACCGCATTACATCAGTGTTTTTAGACCGTGACATCTTTGCTCAAGCAGTTTGTAATGTTCTGTAATGTACTTTAAAATATGATTTAATGAGATTACCCAATAATCCAAACGTGTGACGGGCTTTCTCATAAAACCCAAATAAACAATAGCATTCTTAAGACAACATTAAAGACAGGTAATGTATGGCTATGATGAAACCAAAACAAACAAATGTGTCAAGTCCATTTCATCTTTAGGACAAATTTTGATGATTTATGTGAAGATTTATGCCTTCTGTGATATGAGCCGTGAAGCACTTTGTGTTACGTTGTATAGGAAAATAAAGGTTGATTGATTGTTGTGAAAACATAATGGGACTCCAATCTGGTACAAAAGAGTATCAAGGAAAGTGTAAGGGGAAAAATCCACAGGAGGATTTGCATATGAAGCTAATAAATATGGCATAAAACACAACAATGTCGCCGTTTCATTCGCTCCACTCCCATATTTGCCTCCCAAGACATCACCCAACTGAATGGATGTGCTCTGGGGCAAGAAATGTAAAGTTTGGCTTCAACTTTTCAAATATTAACACCGGAACCCCCGATGACGAACAGCGCCTGCTTCCTGACAAATATTTAAAGCACAGATCTGTCCATAGAGGGCAGCAGTCACGGAAACTCTACACAGAAGGACGTGCCAGTCGCAGAGAGGGACGGAGAATGAAATCTTTGTCCTGGACCAGAGCCGGGGCAGACACAACCACGTCCTTGTCCATTCTGAACATGTTGTGATTGAGAATGTGACCTATATACTTAGCTTTCTGATTTGGTTTGGGAAGACAAACTAAACAACAGACTGACTTTGTTTGGCCATTAGCTAATGCTGAGTGCGCCGCTTCTAGCCTGATTTACACGTTGTCAATGTTCAGTCTGTGTGTTACACGCTTGTCTGGGAAAAGTAGACAAGACGAACTATGACAACTTTATGACTCTTAAAACTAGGGAGGACAGAAGTGTTGTAGCCGTGGAAGATATTCCAGGTATTCAGCGTAAAAATGTGTGCCCACTTAATGGTTCATTATGTGCTGTCCTGTCGTCAACGACGATAACAGAAGGGTTAGGGTTATAAATTCAGATGTCGGGTGTTCCGATTTGTGTTCATGTGCTTTAATCTTGGGACCTTTAGTTTTGAAAGTCACCAATAATAAAATGATAAAAGCTACATGATCACTGACTGAGAATCTCTTCAAAAGGCTCAGCATGAGGCCATTGTTTTTGGTTTTCTTAATCCAAGATAATCTTAGATTAATTCCACAGTAATCTCTGGTCCCGACAGTGTGATCTTGTCAAAGAGCTTAAATATTCAGGATAAAAACGTTTCAATTTAATAATAATTAAAATCAGTATAATAATCATAGGCCCACTACCACCACGGCTTCTATATTGACAAATGTACAAAGTTTATACTTTTGGTAGAAAGCTGTTGTATAAAATTACCATGACAAACCATTTATAAAGAATCTCTTTATTAATCTTTGTTACACAATAAGGAAAGGCCTTTTTAATATACCGACTATCGCATTACCGGTAAGAGGACACATTATACAGTATCAAAAGCTTTGCCATGTAAGGCTTTTAGGATAAAAACACCAGGAATGTCTTCACTCACTGCTTCCTGAGTTCTTGACAATCTTCCTCCCCATGCACTGCCCTGTGACTCACTTACTCCCGGGCCTCAGTTTGTGCGAGACAAAATGAAAAACTCCGAGTTCCTCACATTCCAGCTGAAATGAGCCACTGCCACCTGCCTACACAGAGGGAGAGCGCGTGTGGAGACCAGACTCCATCCATCACTGCGACACATGCAGACTACCAGGAAGGACCAGCGGGGACCCGGCCCACCACCACACAGACTACTGAACCAGAGGGGACCTGGCCCTGGAGGTTTGGGCTGGAGTGGCTGTAGAGCATAGATACATATATACAGAGAGCCAGAAGGAGCTGGGAGTCACATCTAATCAATTCAATTTATTTATGTATAGCCCTATAGCCCATCTCACTAGTTATCTCAGAGGATTTTACAAAACCGTAGAATTCGACACAGATCACCAATGTCAAATGTGTTGAATGCCGATAGTTTGTTCAAAAGAAAGTACAGATGCAGGTAGGAGTGGAGGTTTGACGCAAGGGGGTTGTGGGTAGTTAAGTGATATAGGAAATAAAAATGCATCGTCTCCTGAGTCTTCCTAACATTCCTTGTAACTTGTCAGATGTGTCTTCAAACCAATGAAACTTTGTTGAACTAATAAACTTGTAGTAGGACCCCGTTCATTCAGGATATTTTCTAACCCTTTCTGCGCAGGGTTGTTTTAAGGGAATATAAAGGATGCAGACTGACTTTTCTCAGATTTCACACTGTTTGCAGAAGCTTTATTGTAAATAGAGGCACTATTGTAATGAACCGTGTCACATGGAATGGGTTTAGCTTGTCCAGTTTCATAATACGTACCACCTCTCAATCTCCTTTTCAGTAATCACATTTTCCAACTAAAAGTGACAGAAAATATTTAAAAGGTGATGCTTTTTGTTCACACCATGTTCCATGTTACATATCCCATTCCTCATCCTGTCTTTCGGTCTCCTGCCTTTAGCTCATTGACATGCCACTCATACCTCATGTCCGCCCGTCACTAAATCGGTAAACATCCACATTCCACCATCAACACCTGCTTGAAAAGTTAACTTAAGCCGCTACCTTTTTCTAGTACTTTTAACCCTGCGGCTTATAGAGCGATGTGGCTAATGTGTGTATTTTTATAATAATAATAATAAATCTTATTTCTTAGGTGCCTTTCTTAACACTCAAGGTCGCCTTACAGGTACTTCACTTTGTTGTGGTAGAGTTGTCAGTAGGGTTTATACTGTTGACTTATTACTGTGACTCCAAGTTTTAGTAGCTACAGGACACTTGCTTTTTTTTGTAAAACAGACTGGGCAATAAGTGATGGAAGCTAAAGGTTAAGCTGTTAAAGACCTCGACATTAAATCATGTTGTGACCAGTTAAAAGTCTCTGTAGGTGGTGCGCCTTATAGTCACGAAAGTATAAGAATGTGAAAGTATAAAAGGAACTATCCAGTGGGCTGAACACAAAGAAGGCATAGTATTTAAGATTAAGATGAAGAGATCCTTTAAACAACTTGATATACGGCACTAATGACGTTGTTTAGACCCCCAGATAAACGAGTCATTTAAGATCAGTCTCTACCAGGGGATATCGCAATTACCATAGCAACTAACTATTAACCTACGAGCCAATCAGGAGTGAGGCTGGTCTGTTCTTGCTTACGCTATAAACTTGAAGTTCAAGTTGAATTCAGCAATAGAAGGGCAGTTAGAAGTAATAAAGATTTAATATACCAGGGTCATGTAAAATGCTAAACCACAGATTTTTTTGCACAAAACGGTGAGTGTTTGCGCCTGAGCAGTTAGTGTTTAGAGAAGAGTTTTGTTTTCTATTAAAGTGAATGAGGTCAATGCAAGTAGATCAAAACTTCACCAATGAGCACTTCCCGATTAGGCTTCTTCAAGCGTACAGGTTACAATGCCTATCAATCACTATCCATGAGCGATACCCAGCCATATACACGCAATATTAAGTTGAGAGGTCCATTAAAAATATTTTGAAAACCTTTTGTAAAACTTGTAAAGCGTCCACAATAGCAGAGTGCTTTCAAAGTGCATTTAGCTGGTCTGGCACTGCTCCCTATTGTTGCTGACAAGCTTTGTTGGGGTTTTTGTGTTTTCTCCCTCTTTTGTCAGCTCTTCTGTTGTTTCTCTGCTTGGTTCTGCACTTTTAACTCCTATCATCTTCACTTTACAACTGTTTGACAACGAGCTGCATGTGATCTCCATGAAAAGCCACACACGCACAGACCCACTGTGGAAACACATTGTGTGGTGGTTGTTGCTGACGAAAGCATTTTGCAGAAGCCCAGGTTTAATGCATGTGAACGCGGCTCTAACGTGGCCCATACTGTCACAGATCAACAAGACGAGCTCGAGTCGGGAGCAGGAGACAGTCTGCTGTTGTGGCAATCCATTTACAGGACGAGATGTGCTGGTTTCACGAAGAAAAGTAACAGGGTAGTTGTAGAGATGGTAACAACAGAAAAAAGAAAAAATGTAGCTTGCATGAGAAAGGCAGCTGTATCTTCATTAAAATTGACATCGGAACCACATTCCTTTAAAAGTAGGGACAGGCGATCAAACAAAATGTTAACAGTTATTCCCAGCTTATGTGACTAGTTTGAATTGAGTGGTAAATAAAATATTAAAGCCTTTCAAGCTGAAGCAAAACATATAGAGTTATATAATGATGTAATCCATTATGTTTTCTTTTCAACTAATTTACAGCATGGTTCAATATGACGTACTGCATGGCACGAACTAAATATGCACATTACTTGCTGGACCGGGAGCCACTTTTTTTTCAAGCTCTTTCTACACAGCCGCCTATATAAAGATGTATACAGATATTAGTGTCTCGTAGATCCATCCATCCATCCATCCATCCAGTGACAAAAGGCCAACAATTTGATTTTAATAATAATAAGATATATTAATGGGTTTCATGTATCCAAACACCTCTTTCCATTAGTAGTTGCTAGAAGATAACTGTTTTATACATTAGTCACGTGATCCTTTGATGGAATGAGCTGCGGATGTTTGTTACATATTTTCAGATGTCCACATTTGATTAATATATATTTTTTACTTTTATATAATAAACCAATTAAATGACAAAGCAGACAATCTTTTTTTTCTCAAGTTTAATTTTTAGGAAAAAAAATACGGAAATCATCACGGGACATCATGATGGGACAAATAAAGGATCTCTTGACATC